GGGGGCTGCCTGCTGCTGTGGCTGGCCCTGCTGCTGGGCTGCTGGGCCGAGCTGGGCAGTGGGCTGGAGTTCCCGGGGGCGGAGGGCCAGTGGACCCGCTTCCCCAAGTGGAACGCCTGCTGCGAGAGTGAGATGAGCTTCAACATGAAGACGCGCAGCTCCAGCGGGCTGGTGCTCTACTTCGACGACGAGGGCTTCTGCGACTTCCTGGAGCTCATCCTCACCCAGGGCGGGCGGCTGCAGCTCAGCTTCTCCATCTTCTGCGCCGAGCCCGCCACCTTGCTCTCCGACACGGCCGTCAACGACAACCTCTGGCACGCCGTCGTCATCCGCCGCCACTTCAAGAACACCACGCTCATCATCGACCGGGCTGAGGCCAAGTGGGTGGAGGTGAAGTCCAAGCGGCGGGACATGACTGTCTTCAGCGGCCTCTTCCTCGGGGGGCTCCCGCCGGAGCTGCGGTCGGCCACCCTCAAGCTGACGCTCTCCTCCGTCAAGGACCGGGAGCCCTTCAAGGGCTGGATAACGGACGTGCGGGTCAACTACACGCAGGCCTCGCCGGTGGAGAGCCAGGAGGTGCGGCTGGACGACGAGCAGAGCCGCCTGTGTGCCAGGGAGGACGTCTGCCTCAACGGGGGCGTCTGCTCGGTGCTCAACGACCAGGCCGTCTGCGACTGCTCCCAAACGGGCTTTCGGGGGAAGGACTGCAGCGAAGGTAAGGCGCCATTTCAGCTCGCCCCGCCGCCCCACCACCACCCCCCTCCCCACCGCTCCGTGGAGGGGACGGGTAGGAGGCCAGGCCTGCATGGAGTTTCATCCGTATGAGTGGATCTCCCTCCCTTCCCCTTCCGTCCCTCCCCACCGCGTCCCCTCTTCCCCGCCTTCCCCCTCCCTGCCCTCCCACGTGTCTCTGTGGCCGACCATGGTGCCATCACTCTTCTGTTCTCTGCAAGTCCGGGCGAGAGGAAGAGGAGGAGGAGGGGGTTCTTGGGGCGTCTTCCAGAGGTGGGGTGCGATTTGGGGTTGTTCTCAGCAGAGGAGAGGTGGGTCCTGGGTGCCGGGTGTCACCCGGGAAGGCAGGGGGTGGCTGGCATCACGCTCGGCCAGAGTCCAGGGAGGGGGTGGGCACGCTTGTCACAAGCAGCTGGTGACAATTAGTCTTGGGAGCAGGGAGAGCGATGCTGGGGAGGATTTTACTTGATTAAGTGCAAAGACATCCTGGTCTTATTTTTGTAGGGTAGGGGAGACCCCGAGTCTTCTTTGTATTGATATTTGCCTCTGCTGTGTCGTTGAAATAAAATCAGTGATTTATTTGTGAATTCCTGAAATTGTTGCCGGGGAAGAGGAGGATTAAACGGAGGATGGTGTTTTTACACGAATGCGAACGGTGCTGCTCTGCGATGTATTTAGCGATTCACCATGCCAGTCAGACAGGGAGAACACAAAAGGGCAGGGGGCCAGTATGTACTCCCAGACCACAAAATTACTGAATAGTTTTATCAAGGAAGAGAAAGCTTAGAAAAACAGCAGTTTCCTGAAACCCATCTACAAATAAATCACTGGGTAAAATATTATTCTTATTCTGTTCCCATTGTTTTTGGCAAATGGAAGGAGTGTGAACATTTACTTTGCAGATGCATGTAGGACTCTTTTTTTCTTTTTAAATTATTATTTTGCTAGTAAATGTACCATTGCTTGCAGCTCCTTAAGCATAGAGAGTACATATGTTGTGTACCTAGAACAGGACGTAAAGGTATACGACTGAAATAAGAGGAAATGTATCAGAGGAAAATAGATTCTCCATGTTAAAATTGGAGAGCAAAGACCTAAGTTTAGAATAGAAGAGGTAAATATAAATAAGATATTATCAAGGCCAAATGAAGATCTTCACTGAGTGGCTGCATGACATTTATGGCTGAATAATTTGCCTTTATCATTTCTAGCAGATTTCACTCATTATAAGAAAGAAAGCATCATTTGTGATGTGCTTTATTATGTAACACCTTCTGTCCTTAGTGTCAATACTCAAAACGCTACAGTCATTCTGCATCCTGTTTACTTTATCAGCTGTTTATCTCTCATCTGCCATTCGTTAACAAATTCAAACCCTATTAACATTTAAAAATAATTTTTAACAAGTAAAGATAGTTTCAGAAAATAAAACGTTTGTGCTTTCAATAGCACACAGTCCCAGAAACTGTAAAATGAAATGCCTTTTATATTAGGTAAGATCATATCAATGGATTTAGTATTTGGATGTAAATTTTTAATATGTGGTACTACAAAATATGCAGGTGTATGTAAAATACTGAGTTGTCTTAACATCTTTGAGTTAGGCCCTATTATAAACCAAAAAGAAAATTATGAGGTGTAGCAGCTTGGTTAAAGCAACAATACTTATTTGTATGTTATTATAGATTTATATACCCTTTACATTAAAACACAGAAGCAACAATACTTATTTGTATGTTATTATACATTTATATACCCTCTACATTAAAACACAGTTTATTTATTTGAAGTTTTTTTGAACATGTAATATTTGTATGAAAAAGTCCACATAATTGTGTGTAATATCAGAGAAATTCTTATCTTTACATAATAATAAGATCACTAGCTATTTTAAAGGAACATTTTATGTTTAGATCTAATGGGATTGTAATACATATATATGTTTATATTAAAAATTGTATAGAGCTTATAAGAAATTCATAGGCAAAATAATATTTACAATCTCCCAAATTTGGGGAGCTATATAAAATAATAGCAAGACTTACCATTTTTGCATACATTCTCACCAGAGCATCATAAAGTATTCAGATTCTGATTTCACTTGAGACAGGAGGCAACATTTCCACTGGTAGAAATATAGATGGAACGAGTCCTCCAGTTTGGATCTGTTGAATGAGAAAAGACAGTAACTGAAATTCACATCAGTCAGGTTTTGATGAAGGGATCAGTAGCTACTCGCATGCGCTCCCAAAGATATTGAACTATTTTATAAATGATTTGATATTCTAAGAAATAGAAGAGGCAGAAGGATGAGTAAGACCATGGTGTCTGCCAAGGAAGGAAGCCTGGCTATTGTTGTTTAATTCTTTATTGCCAACACATAAATTATGCTGTTGGGGTTTGGTCTTGTGTTCCTAGAGCGTGTGAATTTCCCACAAAGCTTAGTAAGAGGTTGCCATTGCTGAAAGATGCAGGATCATCTCAGACTGCAGTCATCTGGAGAGATCTTGAGTTTTCACTCTTTTCTTATCCTACTTTTTGACTAAAAATGGTTTAGATGGAAAAATTCCCCAAATTCCCATTATTATCTGAGATCGTAACCACATGTCCTATTTGATACCTTTTCTTTAAAGGTATCAAATGGTGATACCAAGGTGAAAGATGGTCACTAGACTCTATTCTCCTTGGATTTTTTAATAATTTGGGGCGGGGGGGACACTTGGATTTAGTGTGCTTCTGAATCTCTGCAGCCAGGTGAGGCAGAGAGCCCCACGGCATAATGAGGACTTTAGAAATCAGTAACAACAGCAACAAAGAAAACCTTTCCAAAATTTTCTATCCTGACTTGCACATTTAAGAGACTAGAAAATTGACTTAGAGTCAAAGTTTCAGGCCTGCAAAGTTTCAGGATGCAATTTTTGATAGCACTTACATTATTTTCAGGAAAAAATCTGGTGGTTTTTTTTTTTTTTCCAGATTTTCATCTTTGAAAATCTCATTGGTTTTTCATGAAGTAAAAATTTCTTGTGGGAATGAAGTTCAACCAAGTTTATTTGTTCTGGAAAACCCATAATAATATAAGTTGTTCCCAGTAGGCTTAACTGTCCTTGTACCTGTCCAAATCAGGAGTAGCTTCATTTATGTTACCTCAACTACACCAGTGTAAAACCAGTGTAAGCTAGGAAAGAACCAGACCTATTGCATTCAGTCATACTTTTGTTCAAACTGGATCTAAACTCTCTTCAGTGGGAAGTTTGGTGTGAATCAGAACAAGGACTGGAGTTTGGCTTGAGCAACAAGGGTGTGCAGTCTACAGCACAGAAAAATATGATCTGTAACAGTTCTGCTGTTGATTAGTCCATGTGCTTATGAGTACAGACAGTAAAAAAACCTTTGAAAAGAGGAAGTAAGATCTCTATTTAGTACTGAAACAGGGAAGGGAATATTATTTCATGTAGTAAGAGTGACTCAGGAGAAGGAAAAATACACAAAATCACGATAAATTTTGTTAGGAATAAGACTAGCATTAAAATAAACCCTGATTGCCATATCAATTTTCTCATAAGTTTTTGACATACATCACAATCTTCTATTCAGTGGAAATTATATTATTCCTTGAAATGAATCAAATTGGTATGCCTTGATTCTATCATAGGGAGAGCTGTTCATTAAAAAGACTGATCTTTAAAATAAAATTTTGAGTGAATTAAGTCAGGGTCCTAGAAGGTAGGGAGAATACATGATTCATATCAGTGAGCCTTCATATTCCTCTTCTCATTTTGCTCCTTATTTAAAAATTTCAGAACAAAAAACCTATTTGAAATACGAAATATATAAAATAGTGACTCTCTAGATTTAGGAAAAAAAATAATATAGTTTTCCTTTCATCCTCATTTATATAAAAATAACCTTGTCCAGTATCCTGTCAGAGAAAACAAGCAGATACCTCTGAAGGAGGAAATAAAAGCACATAACACACTTTGACTTGGGAGAGTTTCCCACTGACCCCAGCTTCTTTTCACTCCATGCCCTTCTGCTTTTCTATATGTGTGACTGCTTGAAAAAAATTGCATACAGGATAACTTGGCTTTTTAAAATATAGCTGGCCTACTTGCCTCAATATTAGCATATAATAGAGACAGTTACTCTGTGAATTCAAAGTATTCCTGTTTAGAACATGTTTTATTTTAACTGTTCTACCGAGTTTCTGTTTAGTGGGAAAAATGAGGACTGTTCATGCAGCTGTTCACTGTAAGCGATATTCTTCCTTGTCAGATATTCACAAGTTGATGCCAGCTATGGTTTGAACTGTGAAAGTGATTTGTTAAGGAAGCAAATTCCAGATGTCTCGGGCTAGCCAGCATTTAGATTTGTTTGTTTGGGTTCTGAATACATTACATCAATCTTTGCTGTGCCTATCTGCTTCTTTGTGTTAACTTTTTAAGAAGTCATCCAATATTTATATCTTTTTGAAAAATGTCATATTTTAATTCATTCAATTCTCTTATACCTTGAACAAAACATATAAACATGTTTTGGCATTAATTATCTTTTGCAAGATACGTGTTGGAGTGTGAAGCAGTGCTCTTGAACTCATTGCCTATAGTCAGTCTTAATCGAGTAGCCACCATGGTCTTTTTCCTTCTTGAATAGTTAGCTAAATATACTTTGAGCTAGTAAATACCATGAGCAAAACTTTACTTTTCATTTACACTTCAGAATCTTTATCTACAAAATGCATCTCTATTACATGATCTGTATTTCTTCTGCATACTCAATTTCTTGTCCGTGCCAGTGACCGCTGGGGTGATGTTGATTTAGGGTGAGGGCTAGAAATCCACTAGAGATTACATTAGGGTTCTGTTGTATTTACACATGGTTTTATTAATTTAATAATAAGTGTTGTAATTTTATTTAATGTTTTTAAACAGTGACTTTGTCAGTGTAGAAACTTGAGGGCAGATAGTCAGTTAATGCCAAAGT